GTATGCTTGCAGTGTTTTTTAAAATTTCCTTGGGACATATATAACCCAATAGTATTTTTAAAGCAGAAAAAATTATATTGTAGCCGTAGCAAAAGGGTTAAGCGGTTGTATCTTCACAAGGGGCGTTCAAATAAGATATTTTTATATGAAAGACCCACCTTATTTTTCCACAGGGAATCACTCCCTGAATTTTTTCACACTTGTTTATATTTACACCCTGTAGACTGTTTTAAAATGTAGTATTTCTCTGGAAAATTAAACCATACATGAAATATTTCCAAGAGGTAACATAACAGCAAAGAAAGTATTTTAAAATTAAAAAAACGACAATAAGCATACTCCTATAAAATATTTGGGGGCGATAAGGCATCGTGGCAACCCCGTTATTCTTTTGTTTTCCAAAGTGCACAAAGTGCATAAACTCATAACAATTGTAGCAGAATAAATAACAATTGTGTCAAATTTGAAGTTGATATCACAAACATCATCGAAGATGCCATGAAAAAACTATTTTCAAAATTAGATTTTAACACCTTGTATCTTTTAAAGAAAGCATGATTGCGTATAGGTAAGTTTATCTAAACCATCTTGTTGTAATCCCAGGAATCTGTGATTACGTGATTGGCCTTCTTTTCTGGGACACCATGCTACCCTACTTTTTGCAACAAACAACAATGGCATTATTTTATTTAAAGCGAGCGTTTAAAGCAAATGAAAGAAATCTCTGAAATAAGACAACCTGTATACGATGCTGATGTCCATGGGCATTCGGATATCTTTGGAAATTTCGGGTGCTATCTTTGAGTGTCCTATTTTTTGTATTTGTCACATAACTCACACACATACTTTGAATTGGGGACGTTTGGAGTTATACATGACAAATGATTAGCCCTCCGACATATTTCGCAATTCCTGTTTACCCTTAGATTGGAATCCGTGCCGCACAGAAGACACGTGTTGGTCACATCATCTGAATGTTCAATTATGATGTTCCTTAGATTTTTTCTGTACAAATTTATATCTACTGCTTCATCCAGTGGGGAATTTTTTAAAATTTGATGGAAGAAATATACAACAAAGACCCCACAGTTGTATCCGTCCATTTGTTGGACGTGAGGTTTGACGTTAATGTCAGCAGCAGCAAAGCTTTTTTTATTCCATCGGTCATCATCTGATAATGTTTCGTAAAACTGTAAAAATGTCAGAAATTGTTTGAAATAAGCTGTAGTTTCCTTTTTGTTACTGCCGAACGGATTGAGGAAGAGGAATTCATTTTTCGAAGCGTTGGCGATGGCTAAGCAGAAGTGGTTCCCGTTTTGTAACACTGGTAGTATCAAAATGTCTTTTTCTAACTTGACATCATATAAACCATGGTAGACATTTTTAAAGTATTCTACTTTGAACATCTCTGTTGCTATTGTAACCGTTTCAATCTGGTACCCACCTGCATTGAACACTCGTTCGTTGAGAATCCTTAGGCAAATGTCGAGTATAAAGTTTGTCAGATATTCGGTGGAGTTGAGGATCCGGAAATCTTCGCTGGATATTTCTTTAACCGGGCAGTCAAATTCCTTAAAGAACGCTATGTTGTAATTTTTATTCAACGGCTTGTAATAATCGACGTTGTTGATTAGACCATTTTGTAAGATGTTAATTTTTTTACCTCGGAAATTATCGGCATTACATTTTAAGTAGTCCTCATAAAATCGTGACAGTTTCGGCAGCATCATTTTCCAAAATCTTTCGTCTCTTTCGATTCGTTCTATTTTTTCGCCCTTCTTTGTATAAATGACAAAGTCGCACCAGTCTTTCTCCGTTATAGCCAGCAAACCTTGTATATGGTAATGGTAGTCGTGGGTTTTTAACAGCTTTCCACTCCGTTTATTGCAGCACTTCAATAAACCACTTTTAATTGCTTCCTGGAGATGTTCGTCCTTAATAGAATACGGACACTTTATTAGCGCAATACCATTTTTTTCCATGAAGAAATCGGGAGATCCAGCTAGAAACTGATTTCTGTGGATTACTAAACTCGCAGGTACACACCTTTTATTACACTCGTTCTTGTATGCCTCTAGTGCAGCTTTCCGAAATTCACTGCTGTAGGTATTGGCTCTGTTTGTGCGTTCTTTCGGATCGTAAATTACCTTGGCTATATATTTCAACTTGTTAGTTGTTTTCGCCTTACAAATTAATCCAAAGTTGGACGCATTTACAAACCTTTTCTGTTCAGGATTAAGATCGATATCGTCGTCGCTAGATTCAGGTATCGCCTTGCTGGTAGATGGGGAAGACTTTGTCTTCTTTGTAACATCTTTGGCACGCTGCTCCTTCTTGTCTTTTGGTTTTACCCATTCTAAGTGATTGTAATCTTTCGAAGAACTGAACACTATTACACGTCTCGACATTTTTTTGGCTTTATCGACGTCGTGCATTTTCAGTACAAAGGCTTTACACGTATGAACGCAGTAAGCATATACCTTAACTGTGCCTTCTAGTTTGTCGTATTCGAAACGTTCAAAATAAATCGGGCACGTATTATTGACAGATTTCAGTTTCTCTTTCAATATATGGTAGTATTCATCACATAACTTATTATCTCCCGGATACAGCGAAATAAATTCTTGATGAGTTAATAAGAATTCTCCCTCCTTAAATGTACACTTCTCGAAACCAGGCCTTCTCCACTGGTCTTGGTGCAAGTTCTTGGCAGGGCTGAATGACCTTTCCTCATTCCATGATTCTTTCGGAAATATTTTATGTTCATATTTCTTATAATATTCCCCAATGCGTTTCCTGTTCTTTAGCGAGTTTTTCTTTTTCATTTCCTTACATATTTCACCGAATATGGAGTTCTTATTATAATACGATTCTCGTAACTGGCCAGGGGAAACGTTTAGATCAATTATGGCCTTCTTAACAGCATTAAAATATTTTGTAGGCAGATCTGCATTGCTTTCTTCCGGTGCAGTAATATGTTGCTTAATGTCCCCGGAGTTTCTTTTTAAGCATTTCTGAATACTGTATTTGTTGTTCTTACTTGCATTGTTGAATATAAAAAGGGCAGCCTCTTCAATGATAGGGTCATTTAAAGATAACTCACGCAACATCCGGTAGCAATGATTGGGAAAACGCGAATTGAAAAACTTTGCTAAAGATTGTATGTCAATAGGCATCTTCAAATACTTATTTTTATTTAAAACTAAAAGTGGTGTATCTAGGGATATTAAACGATAAAGCTCTGTACATTTAACGCAAAAATATTAACTGTGACTTTACAGCAACGTCAATTAGATATAATAATGAATTATTAACTATATTACTATAAATATTTTAATTTACCTTGGAAGATAGTGTTTTGTGCAGCTTTCTACAAACTTTTCACTCCACTTTACAATATGTAGTTGAAGCAAAGAATCAGTAAAAACTTGTGAAAACATTTCTTATTTGCTTATTTTTGCCTACTTACTACTACTGACAAGGATATAATACAAGGACTGGACTTGAAGAAGTTAGGAATGTTGTAGTATAGAGGGTGTCCCGAAATTCATGCAACAGAATTTGGTCAGATTGTTAAGACAAATTTAGGGGACCCATATTTTTTATTTTTGCCAAGTGGTCCCCCCTTTCGGAGTTACAGCCCCCTGAAGTCCACCCCTAAGAATAATCTTTTTTGGTACACAGAGATTTTATGACATGTGGAATCTGATGGTGCTACGTTTTTAGGCGGGGAACCCCCTTAAGATAATTTTTCGTGGGCCCCCTTGTCTTAGAGCCAAAAATATTTGGTCGCAAATTTAAATTTCTTAAACTATCAGTCCACTAGAAAGCTACTAAATTTAGAAACTTTTTGCCTCTTTGTACTTTTTTCGTAAAGCAATGTTTTCGAGAAAAATGTCAAAATGTGATCGAATGCATATCGTGATTCGCCATTTTCCTCAAAAATATTGCGTTTTACAAAACAAATATCAAGCGACAAAAAAGTTTCTAAATTCAATGGCTTTCTAGCTAATTAAAAAAAAAATCAAATTTGCGATCAAGTTTTTCTAGTTCCAAAGACCAGGGGTCCCACGAAAAAGTTTCATAAGGTGGTGTCTCGCCAAAAAGCGTAGCAATGTGAGATTCCACGTCATAAAACATCTGTGTACTAAATTTAGTGATTCTCGTACATGGTTTTGAGATATCAATAAGACTTCTTAGGGGCAGATTTCAGGAGGCTGTAACTACGAAAGAAGGGGCCAGTTAGCAAAAAGAAAAAATACGGGTCCCCTAAATTTGTCTTAAGAATCTATAACCAATTTTGTTGCTTGAATTTCGGGACACCCTGTATAAATTATTTTAATGAAGGATCCAATTTAAATAATGCTTAACTGTGTGTAAAAAATACTTTTAATGATTCTAATTTTGATATAGCTTTGAACAAATTATTAATGTAGGTGATACAGGTTACGTTGATACATTATTCCTAGAGTAGAATTACATAAATATTCGGGGAACCATCCATATGTGAGTTTAGTCGTATTATCAAATAAAACTTAATAACAACCGCCATCCAGATTACAGAATGCTTATCTATGGCCGGAATGCCAAAAATTGATAACATTTTGTACCGAAGGTATCTTTGTAAAAATCTACCAAAGAAATATGTAGGTATATGTGTCCAAAAATAAAGTAATGCCATATGTCCATACATATTTATCTTTCAAAGTTTTGACTATAGTAACTATAGTTACAGGGTGATTATTTAAATTTTGAATATTATTCTTCCTCTCTCTAAAATACTTATAGTTGACAACACAAAACATATAATACAGCGTGACCAGTGGCGTGTATACAGACAGTTCATCATTATCGGTATAGGTATCTGCAGTGGCGTATTTAGGATTTTTCTCCGGGTGGGGTCTGAATTTTTTTTACGACAAAATACTTTTGAATTCCGTATGGATGCTAAAGAATATAGTAGGTTTTATTTATGTAAAGATAAAAAAAAATAATTGAGAATCGAGGATTTTATTAAGAAAAAAGTAACAGTACAGAAAAAATATTCAGTAAGCGACACTTAGTGTAGTATATTGATTATTTCTTGTGTTCAGTTTTCAGTGTAAGTACATCTACGTCCTACCTATTTAGTTTACTAAATGATAAAATCTAAGCGTAGTCTTGATTTACCTATCTCATCTAATACTTCTTCAGAGGTTATTTCCATATCCCTCTGAATTGAAAGTATTGCTAAGCCATTAATTTTCGCCTGAAAAATTGATTAACTATTAATCGATGCCAAGTAAGAGATGAAAGACATAAATAACATATTTACAGATGCAGAGGTATAGGACTCAAAGGATGGAATGCAGATGCAATAAAGTGATCTAGCATTGATGATTTTAAGACGTGTTGCAATTCAAGTATCAATATTTTCAGGTAATAAAAAAAACACTTACTTCCGTCATAGAATTTCTCAAATGAGTCTTGATCCGTTTAAGATTGGAAAAACATCTTTCATTAGTTGTTGTGGATACCGGTAAAGTCGCTAATATTTGAAGAAGTCGGAGTATGTTAGGGTAGATTTCTTTATTGCTTGCCCTCAAAGCATCCATCGCATTTTTTAGTTTTTCATCAACAGTGTGTTTAAGTATGTTGAATATTAAATATGTCTATTGAAAATATAAATATAAAATATATGTAGTAAGGCAAGCCCGATTTCAAATAATCAAAAAATTAAATAAAAATTAGACATGTATCTGGAAACAATCATTTTCATCAGAATTACTGAGAATATTTAATTCACTCATAATTTTTTACTACTTTTTCTTTGAATAGCCCACTAATGAAAAGAAATTAATTTTAAATTTTGATGATAGTGACCTAATAGTCCAATTAAATGGGCCTTTGCCTTTAAATCGCAATTTTTGTCAAATTGCCTGAATTTTTTATATAAGTAAGTTAATTTGAAGTACCTACATAATAATAATAAGTGACAGTAATTTTTTGTTTCAACCCACGTCCAGGGTGAAAAAAGATAAAATAAAGGGGTTTTTCAAGATATCTCAAAAGAGGTAAATTTCTTGTAGCAGTTGTAGAGCATAACATTCTATATACAAATGGTATATCGACTTTTTTTTGTACTATTAAAATCAACAGAGTTAAGGAGGCTAGAAGTTAAGGGATGATTTCAGAAATATAAAAAAATTATAACAATCAGAAAAATGAATGAATTCTATAATTTTTTTTCAATCTACTCTAAAAAAATGTGAACTATCTCTTCAGAGAAATAGATATATTTGTTAATTTTTAATAAAAAAGTTATAATAATTTCAATTTTTTAATCGTTAATTTTTATGATTTAACACTAAAACAATTTTTTTCTGTTATTCGATTGACTATTTACTTAAAATAATGAAAAGTTGCTCTCGATATTTTGTTTTACGACAAAGATAAAAAATCACGTTCGCTTGGTGAAATTGTTCTTATTAAAAATTAAAAACTGTATCTATTTCTCTGAAAAGACATTTTACATTTTTTTTTGGAGTAGATTGAAAAAAAAATTA